CAAAGCAACCCTTTTGACTCACCCCCGATGCGACGCCCCTACATCCATTATGGTTGACGCATCCGACACCGCAGCAGGCGCAGTTCTACAACAGCTCAAAGACGCTCAGTGGCATCCCGTCTCATTCTTCTCAAAACAATTTTAACCAGCCGAAACAAGATACAGTACTTTCGGAAGAGAACTGCTTGGGGTGTACCTTGCCGTGAAATACTTCCGCCATTTTTTAGAAGGTAGACAGTTTTGCATATGGACCGACCACAAACCTCTTACATACGCATTTCAATCCAACAACTCTAACCATACGCCGCGGGAGATCCGTCATATGTCCTTTGTTTCCGAATTTACTACCGACATAAGGTTCGTTTCAGGCAAGGACAACCCCGTCGCCGATGCATTATCACGATTAAACATAAATGAGATCTCTTCATCCCGACCAATAATCGATTTTGCGATTATCGCTCAAGCTCAACAAACGGACAAGGAGTTAAGTGAGCTCCGCTCATCACAAACGTCTCTTATACTACAAGACGTCAACATTCCCGGCAGCACTACAACGATAGTTTGCGACACATCTACAGGCACACCTCGACCGTACATTCCACCTCATTTCCGGCGCACAGTGTTTGATGCGCTGCACACACTATCCCACCCTGGCATACGTGCTACCCAGCGTTTGGTCACCGCGCGCTTCGTGTGGCCACGAATCAACGCAGACGTGAGGCGGTGGTCACAATCCTGCCTTCAGCGTCAAAAGGTAAAAGTTCATCGACACAACACCTCGCCTCACGATGTTTTTCCCCAACCTGACGCTCGCTTCAGCCATGTCCATATGGACGTTGTGGGACCTTTACCATCATCGCAAGGCTTTCGATATACGCTCACATGCGTAGACCGTTTCACAAGATGGCCTGAAGCAATTCCCATCACACACATAACAGCTGAAAATGTCGCCCACGCCTTCATTACCACATGGGTCAGTTGTTTTGGTATACCATCTGCCATCACAACTGACCGTGGCCGACAATTTGAATCCTCTCTTTTCCGCCATCTTTCCCAGCTGTTGGGGGTCCACCACATTCACACAACAGCGTACCATCCGCAAGCCAACGGTATGGTTGAGAGACTGCACCGCCAACTGAAAGCAGCTCTCATGGCACAAGCCACGCATTCATCACGTTGGACTGAAGTTTTGCCCTTAGTACTCCTCGGCATTCGCTCTGCATTCAAAAAGGACCTGAACTACACTACCGCTGAGCTCGTTTATGGCACGACCTTACGTTTGCCTGGTCAATCGATTGCACCTGCAACAGAGCCTGCAATTCCTGACATACAGGATTTTGCAAGCCGCCTACGACAGCACATGGCACAGCTACGACCCTGCCCCCCAAGAGCCACACAACCTTCTTCAATATTCATGAGTCCAGCATTGTCAAAATCTTCCCACGTCTTCATTCGGAACGATGCAGTAAACCGATCACTTCAACCTCCATACAACGGACCATACGAAGTTCTACGCAGAGACGCCAAGCACATGACTCTGCTTATCAATGGTCGCACAGGCACAGTGTCTATCGACCGACTGAAACCTGCATTCCAGGAATGTCCGCAACCTTCCTCAAGCGTGGATCTCCTCACTGTGCCCACAAGGAGTAACAGACTTCCAAAGAAAGTTCGTTTTCAAGAAACAGCGTAAAACTCAACGCTCGTCAAGCCGCTTCCTCTCTAGGGGGGGAGTATTTGTAGGATCTACGATCACAAAGAAGAAGAGGACGCAGGGATGCGCGAGAGGCACGCAAAAAATATAGATAGCACGAGAGTGAGCCAGTGTTCGGCCTTACCTACGGACGAACAACCTTCACGTTGATTTCCTTTTTTTTTTTGTAAATATGTAAAATATAATATATTGTAGCGCTCGCGACTCCTCGCTTTCATAAGAACCCACACTCTACTCTCTCAGCCTCCTCCCTGCACGCCCGACACATAGTAGATTCTTCCTTGGGGGTCGAGTCGCTTCCGGTAGTCCAATGCTAGCTTCGAAGAAAAGTTGGCTACCCAAACTGATGTCATACAGTTGGACTTCGGTTGCTATTAGTTATTGACGTCATTCTACTTTCGAAGCGCCATCTAGAGGTCACGCTTTGAAGCCTGTGTATTTTGCGGAGTAGACTGTAGTTACCATAACAACCATCTTCAAAAGCGTGGCGCTTCAAACGACGGGAGGCGAACCCTTGGGGGAGGGGGGGTACTACGCGTGGAAGCAGCGTCTATGGACAGTTTGGCAAGTGAGCTGGTCTAGTCACGTTCCTAACTGACAAGGCTAGCAATGTTACCGATCTAAAAAAAAACAAAGTAGAAAAAAAGGCATGCGTGGTAATCTGTTCTTAAAAATTGGGGGCTAATTATTACAATTACGTTTTGTAAGCGGTGTTTGTTTAATACTTTTTTTATAAGCTGTACTCTTTAGAACTGCGACTTCATTGGTGCGACTGCTACGTGATTGATTTCGGTGCAGTAGCTGAGAACTGATAACTATCTTTCTCACATTCAACAACAGTAATTCGCTATGTCTTTTTAGCTCAAAGGCCGACTTACGAAACCATTTTCCGCAGTGTAGGAAAGTGCTCCCCAGCGACCTTCGCTCCCTCCCCTCTCGCACTCCTTCCTCCTCCTCCTCCGAAAAGGGCGGGTCCGGAAGCTAGTCTCCGTAGAAAGGAAAAGGGGTTTCCTGCTTTCTGGGTGGCTAGGAGGAAACCTCTTCTCACGCGGAAAATGGTTTTGTAGGTCGGCCTTTAAGACCTTGTGCGTCTACTTTCTTCGGCATAATTCAGAGTGCCAATCACAGTGATATCTGCGGACGTAGCTCGACGGATTATGAGGCCGAAGAATTACATCTGCCTGAAGGCTCACGTAGAAATAAATTAGACTTCTGAAACGCTAGCAGCACGCTCACTGCCACTTTCAATACTTGCATTCTGGTCAAAAGCATTTTGTATTAATTTGCTGATATATTCTTTTACATTATACTGATTGACTCTCGTACAATGTGTGAGTATAGACACACCGCCTTTTTCTTTTTCCTGTAATGAAAGCCCATTCACACGGAAGTTACTGTGGCGATCAAGCGTTACGTCGTTTGATTATCTTGATAACGGCGGAGTAGTCTGGCGTAACGTAGTCAACGATAGTTAAAGGCTACCGTGTGAATCATTCCTTAAGAAGAAACAAAAACCAGCAGTGGAGTAATATCTAAAAAAATATGAAAACCAATTGTGACGTAGTACTACAACAAAATAACAACAATAAGAGTGACTCAGCGCAAAGAGAATCATTGACTTGAAAACACACATAAATTAAACATACACAATAATTACCTCAACAACCTAGAAAATCAGTTAGGTAATAACTCAGATAGCAATCCCGGAAACATAAGAAATCCAGGAACAATGTGAAACCTTTCTCAACTTCAATTCGCGTATTATAGTGAATTGTTAAACTGTGCTTTAACGATGAAAAACTGCCTGTATGTGGAAGGTTTTACAAAAAAAAGCTGTTTGTGACCACGCAACTACTCTTTGAGCGTACTTTTAAGCATCGAAAGTTGCAGTGCGATCTTCCGTGGTACCTGCAATATTTAACAAAAATAGCGATATGCTGAAACTCCACAATAACTTCGTGAATGCGACCAAAACCGAAAACAAATATGTTTATCGCCCCCGAGGTTTTTTTTTTTTTCGACAACATGTTCGAGTGCAGTACATTATTGCCGAAGATTCTAGTTTTCGGCGTTTATTTTGTAACTTAATTTGGTGTTAATATTGAAAATTTACTTACATTCAACCACATCGGCTTTTGCAGAGGTGGATTTTACTTAGACGTGACATTAACACCTAAAACAAGTAGAGAAAAAAAACATATTTATCAAAAAGTTGCAAAATAATGTTCTTGCTTGTGCTAATTACGGCTAAGAGGGAATGTTTTTCTTTTATAGTTTAAGCATATGAGAATTTGTTTTTGTCTTTTTTACGCAAATGCAATCGCAGGAAATGACAAAAACAAAGGCCAACAGAGTACACACCCTCAAACGGGAAACAGAACAAGTGACCGTGCAATATGTGGCCAAAGAAATACCGTCGATGTTCGTCGTATTCACGCGCTGGGGTTGCCAATGCGGAGTTTAGGTGCTAAGCACAGAGCATATTGATAGAGCTTGGCTATTCTCGCTACAGCAGCTTTGAACACGTACCTAAACTGATAGCAGTGCTCATTTCAATCCGTGAGCAGCATTCAACCGTTATTATGCTGGGTAACACCTGGGTGACTCCATCGACATCGTGATGACGTGGACGTAATCGTCGTCATTATGTTAGGGGCGACGCTCCCTAGGGTCTAACTTTGTCCGTGCGGCGTCCGTGCTCACATCGATTGCCATCCCATCTGTCTTCTTAAAAAAAGAAAAAAGTGTTTGCGCAGTCGACAGGATTCGGACCTGTGCGGGGAGACCTCAATGGATTTCCAGCCCATGGCCTTAACCACTCGGCCACGACTGCGAGACGAGTAGGGGGCTCTGAGAAGTGGTAGTAACTCAAGAGCTGGAGATGTCATGGATGAAACGTTGCATGTAGCCGCTCAACGTCTATACAGGAGAGGGCGCTGCGGTCAAATGCGTATATAATCGCAAAAACAGTATCATCAGCACCACCAGAGCTTCGCCCCAATCAACATCATTCACCACGTAAAGATGCGGTCATTTTTTTCTCTCCTTGAAGCTACAGATAAAAAAGTCGTAATATTTGAGTCAGTTTGTTTGAATGAAGAATTTGACGTTCAAAAGCAATACTGTTCCGTGTCTCCTTGGAGAAAAAAAAAATGCGGCTCACCGAAGTGATTAAGAGCACAGTAGCAAAGCAATAAACGACTTTTTTTCTTCTTTTGACACTTTTTATTGCTATTTTCTAACATAAAAATGGCTGTTCCTCGCGAATGCTGATGACTACCTGCAGACTCGCTGAGGCTCAAGTACTTGGCCGGACCATCCAACTTCAAGGACATGGGCCTGTTGTTCGACGACATCTCGTGGCCCACGGATCGCACCCGCAAGTTCAAGAATCCGCCCGGTAACGACCGGGCCCTCCGAATATTCTCGAGTTGGAAGGTCTGAATCTGCTTAGACAACGACCGTGAAAACTATACTTCCTTTCACATTGTCAGACAGCAGCCGACGCTACGATTTGATGGAGGCAATCAATAGGGCACCGCGCGAATAACAGTCTGATTATCCGCAACGGATCCGCAGCCGCAGACCTCGTATCCGCATCCGAACCCATCTCCTAAATTCGGAGACCCTCTCCGACCCGAACCGCGATGCGCGCATTCATTCTATATTACAAAATAAATCGTGAGAGAAGAAAAGAAGCGTCTGGATAGTACCTTATAAGGCGCTCGCTTATGTTTCACCTATATTACAGCGCTAGCTGTTAGTGAGACACTTCGCGGTTTTCCGCCGTCGACCACGCTCCAAATCGACGCGGGCCATTTTCGGCACTCAGCAAAAACATTCCACGAGCCACTGATAACAAGATGACAAGCAAGCAAGATAGCACGCATGGTCATGCATGGTAGCAAGACAACTTACATGGTCAGCAAAACTGTCCCCGCCGGGCAATCTGGCAGTCCACTGGTATAGGTGACATGTGACCCAGAATTAGCTCAAACAACAATTCGAGGCAGGTAAGCAGATAAAAGTGTGAAATTTCTACACCAGAAAGCAAGAGGAAAGCAAGTGCGCCGGTGCCCCGTCAGTGCACTTGACAGATACAGAGTTTTATTTTCTAAACAAAGAGCCCGAGAGATGGTATCAATAGTGCGTATTTGTTTCAATGAACCTTCATATGAGAGTGCACTTCGTGCTGTCTACTTCCTTGTCCCCGTTAATTCGGCGCTTTTCGTTTAACCCGTGTAACTATTTGTACCAAAGTGACGTACGAAAGCACGCCCTTCCCCTTATGCAGACAGCTGAAATGCTCTCTACTGAATACACCCTCATTGTTTCTAAAATACTAGAGAATTTTCGTGCGGAGTATCACTCGGTTTAATACGAAACAGCCTACGCGGACTCTAGGGCACGCGCTCGCACCTCTACCGTTCATTCGGTACATCTGCTCCAAAATTACACCTTAGTGACTCCGAGGTCACACCTCAGCTGTGGCTGTGTTTCACCTTACGCGTTGCGCAAGTGTTTAAAAATTTTATATAAAGGACTTTTTGAGTAGATCACGGTGAAAGTTATTTTATCGTATTTTGTTTTATTGCATTTATATTCTAAGCGATCATTCTTCTTAAGGCACTTCGCGTCGTTGGAAAGATTATCGCATGTTATGCGAAAAAGACTTCAAGCAGACGCGTATTTTCTAACCATTAAAGGTAATAAAAAATCCACTAGTAACATCGTATCGTTTCCTTTAGTTCAAACAATAGGCTGGGAGAGAAGGGCGGTTACTCACCACACTGAAGTACTCGTTTATACGTGGTAAGGAATGAGTACGCCATTGAGAAAATATGACAGTATTCAATAATGGCAACACTTCTTATTGTTTTCAGTTCAAAACACGAACCCGTAACTGCGTGCTACGAACCGCCCACTTAGCAGCAATTTGCCAATTGATGAGATAAAAAAAAAACGCGCACGCACGCACGCCAAGTTTAACTTGTCGATGAGGCTTCTTCTGCTTTCTTGTGGCTTGCACGTCTTGGGATTACTTTGCATAAATAAAAAAGTTTTCCGCAGTTTCCCTTTCAAACAAGGACGCGCTTTCCCTGCGCGATTGATGCCTCTGCATATTTTTCCCCTTTTTCTGGGGACAGCCGTTGTTTCCTGAAATGCAACGCACTACAGCGATTTAAAGTGATAATCAAATCTTCCTTTGGCGTAAAGAACAATGTTCTCCCCGGTGTAAACATTCTTTCGAAGAGTAATTAGCTCCCACGAAACATTCGATGATGAACTTTCTACTATCACTCACTTATTCACTCTACACTCTAGGGTCGCACACGTTTATGGGCCGCCTTGCAAAAACGTAGACTCGGGACCACGAATACCCGCATCCTATCCGCAATCCGCCAAATCTGATTCGTTTTTTTCCGCATCCGTCATTTGACCGCGGATGCCCGCGGATGATCCGCGGATACCCGTGGATCACCCGCTTTTTTTATTCATACGTCAACAATATTGTCGATATCAATAAAGGTATTAAATGCGTAATTTACGCTGATAATACAAGTTTATTTTTTGCCGGTAACTGCTGTCAGGAACTAGCAATTAAAGCAAATCAAACGTTGAAGGACCTAGCTACTTAGAGCCAATGTAATGCTTTAAAAATCAGTGATAGCTAAACAAAAGCAATTTTATTTTGCCCAAGAAATAAGAATAATAATATAACTAGGGATATTGTTTTAAATGGAACAGAAATATAAGTTTCCTCTAGTTTTAAGAGGCTTGTCGTTATATACACGGATCGAATGAGTTGGGATGAATACGTAAATGATATTTCGGTAAAATTGTCGCGAGTCGCTGGCTTTATGTATCGTCATCGCCATATTCTCCCAACAAATCTGAAATTAATCATTTATAATGATTTAGCTCTCTCCCACATTCATTACTCCTTCTTAGTCTGAGGTAATATTACAAATACAATTTTAAACAAAATATTTGTAATACAAAAGAAAATATTGCGAAGTATTTGTAACGTGTCATACGATATCATTCTAATGAACCTCTCTTTCAAAGTTTAAATTTGATACCTGTGAATAGATTATACAAATATTGTTTATGCATGACCTATAAATCAGAAGTACAAACGAATCTTCATGCCTTTTGTGAATTGGTGTCTCTCTCGCCAAGAGAAGCAACATATCCTACTCGAAACACGGAAATTTGGATACTCCCTATTCGCAAAACCACCTACGGTGATCAGATGTTAATATATGGACCTCCTCGACTGCTTAATTTTATTATTATTCACATTAACCTTCTCTCAACATCAGTAAAAATATCCGAGTTTTTTTTTTTACCAAATATGATAGCTTAGTTGTCATGTTTCATAACCTCAATTTAGCTAAGTTGAATAATGCTGTTCTTGTGAGTACTTATGTAAACCCGTGAGGCGATATAAAGGTGAACAGCCCTCTTCTTGTTATTGACCCTCCTGCAAGTTTTGGAACAAGCTCTGTTCCAGAAAAGGGCTAGAACGCAAAGTGTAGACGCCAAGCCACGTACCATTTGAGACGTTGAGAGTTAATATAGCTCTAGGGAGCCGTAAAACAGGCAAGAAACTAGGTAAGGTGTTCACCTTCATATTGCCGGTGGGTGTACATTGTTCTTGTTAGCCTCCTCTATAGTCGCACGTTTTTGTAATATTGTCCTGTTGTCATCTCTGAAATAGTTAGTCTGTCTCTTGACTTTCTTTTTGGATTACTTGTTGTGCCACTGCTGGCATATGTAAGAAAGGGGTCGAGGGCCCGTCAAGCTGCATTAAGCAGATTTTTTCCTCGGTCTCCCTCCGTCATACATGTTTCTGACGGAAAATAAACATTTTTATAATTAACAATAATCAATCCGTGGATATGCAGGGCTCCACCAATCAAGCAGCTTCGCAAAAAGCATCACCACGGCACTTTCGGCACCGGACAAAACGATCACGCGTGGACAAGAGCGCAGTGCCACGCCGCGGTCACTGTGAGCGACTGCTTAATCAGACGAGAGCAGACGAAAGTGACGATTGCGTGACTATGCGCTTTTGCCTCTGCCTGATTCGTACCGTCGGATCGTAGCGTTGGCTGCGGCAGGACTTGGTGCAGAACGGAGTATAGACCAACTCAACTCTCTGACTTCCCGCCGGTGAGGTGGCGCTGCTATCGGTAGTGCGCATGCGCAGACGCTTCACTCCTTCCAAATTCGGTTTCTGCGCACGCGCAGTGCCCTCACCTGGTGTGGAAACACTGTGTTGGTGCATACTCCGGGAGCTCTAATCTGGACACTTGGCGAAAACGTGGGCGAGGAACTGGACCGCCGTGATTGGCCAGCGCCGAAGTCAAACGCTTTGCCGGTCAATGACGGCAGCCGGACAGCTCGCCGACGTTGTCGCCAAGTGTGCAGATTAGAGGCCCGGGTCGGCCATCTTCTTGCAGTGCTACCGAGCTGAAACTTAAAGCGGTCACGAAAAGATATTTCAACTTTTTTTACTCCTTAGCTTTAATTCTCAACTCGAAAAAGAAAATGAGAAACCACCTGTTCGTGGCGTGCTTGGGCAACAGGAGGTGATGACTTCGAGCTTCCGCCGTGCCTTTTAAGTGCACCTTGGAACCTGTCATTCGCAAGGGGTAATACATGAGTGCCGTGGCACGGCAATCATTATTGACCACGGACGCGGATTCAAATATTCGTCGACGAATTGATTGTCGATGGCCGAGTGTGTACGTTCGAGTGACCCAGTGCTCTTGTCCAATGCTGGAGCTTGGTTCGACACCGCGGATGCATTACAGTGAAAAGGCCGAGAACTTTCAAAAGAAAGGAGGTACAAAATAGTCCGCTATATATTAAAAATTTAACGAAATGCAGGCTTTTGGTTTTCTACTGTCGTGTTCCAGGTTCTTTTGGCGCACGAGACAATATGAGATTAGTAAAGTCCCGATCTATCCCTGCCCAAAATTTATTTCAATGTTCCATCAATAGTTGCGTATGAACTGCAACTCACGTCAGGAATGTTTTCAACGCGGTAGAATTTTATCTTCATTCACCCGTCTACGTGAAAACTAGTTATCCCCGCATCAAAACGAGTGCTCATGAGCGGCATACATGTGCGCGTCCCCTTCTCCTTATTCCGCCCATGCGCGGACGTCGGGGTCATTGGTTCACTGGATATCCCGTAGACTTCGGAATACCTCGCAAAGAGGTATTCCGAAGGTCAGATATAGTTGAACAGAAGCGGCGACAAGTTGAGTAGGATCCTCCTCGAGGTGGGCCAAAGAGACGCCGCATAAAATAAGATGATTCTTTTGGCTGGGGATAGAGAAGCAAGTTTCCATAAAAGACAATGTTGTACTATTTCGACATGGTCTGCGGCAAACTGGCAAAAAAATACAACCCCGTTTTTTTCAAGTTTTCTTTCACCTTTTATTTAAGGTAGAAATAAAAAGAAACGGGATGAAAGAGAATTTGAAAAAAAAAACTAGTGCTGCAAGACTCACAGTGACAGCCATTGTTTTGCTACTAGACTCAGCATCCACAGTGTCTTAGTGTTACGTCTGCTACAGGCTACGACTCTTCCAGCTCGTTATTCGCAATTTTTTTCTAATGTCAGTTTTTGCTATACCCTCGTACATTGTTTCGTCAAGACAGTACAGGGATGATTTGTGAAAATGGGGGGAGGGGAAGGGAAGGGGAAATGGGGGTCCATCTTGTTTGCAGTCGGCTGTTTTGTTTTGCTTGTTTCTTTTTTCACAGAACATAACAGTTTAAATACCCTTTAAAACATACCCTACCTCTTTGACCCTTGCCTCAATAAAAGAACCGTATATTACTCAAAGAATGTGATGCAGTGTGTTTAGTCTGCACTTCTTAACGATGTAACGGAAGAGCAATTTGGCGACATTCGCAACCCTTATGAAAGCGCTTCTTCGCCAAATCATTACATCTGTGGTTAACTGGTGATGCCGAACCGTGAAACGACGAGATATATATTAAAAATATCTACGCGCAGTGTACGCTTCTTCTTTAACCTTGTAGAAGGCGAGACCCCAAATAGTTGTCTTCACAGAGCAGGCAGGCCCTTCGTCCAATAGACCCTTTTCAAAAGTCCATCAAGCAACAATGACTGATCACTCGTCTTGTCTTTCGTAGACTTAGGCTAGGTGGCGCAAGCTACCGTCCGCTACAAAGGGTAGCCAGTAACATCTATCCATTAAACACGAAGCGCGTAATTGGTTCCCAGTTCTCGTGGAACCCTGACGCAGTACTCATTTTCGATGCGAGCTGAACCGAGTTCACGCCGAATGCTCACGCAACGCTCGTGTCCAATAAACGCTCAGAGAATGTACCTAAAAAATGGCTGAGTAGGACACTTGGTGCAGCAGCGACGAGATCAATCAATCAGTTTATTTTTTCTTTCAAGCGGTACACACTCCTCGAAATGGTACCTTGGTGCAAAGGCGATCGTGTCGCCTGACTGGGCACCAAGGTCCAATGGGGGGGGGGGGGGGGGGGGGGGGGGGGGGGGGCAATATCCAGCAGCAACAGCATTAAAGGTTAAACTTCGACAAGAGAAAAAATACTTATAAAAGATATAACGGAGAGACACATACATACACTCAAGAGAAAATGGATGCACACATAAAATTGTAAAGAATGAATACTAGCACACATTGATGTTGTTTAACATTGTCATAAAAACAAAGATTAAAAAGTCATATAAGACATCAAGCAAAAAATAAATAAATAAAAGTAAGAAAACCACTTTCGGTATAAACCATAAAAGTGAAGACGTTAGAATACATTCCTAAATTCCCGGCACATATAAAAATAGCAATCTGGCATTGTCCACACAATAAAATTAAAATATAAACGTGATCCCAAAGTATACGAGATTTTTAATAAAAGCGGATGCACAAAAAATGCTGGTTAATATTTAAAAAAAAATGTATATCAACATATCTGTAGAATTATCAACTCAACGGCAATCAAAAAGGAGCGTAGATTTTTTTTAAATGTAGTTCGGTTTGTAGTAATTACGGATGATGGGGCGCACTTTTGGAAAAGGTCTATTCCGGCCATATGATAACTACTAAAAAGGGCACGTCACGCGCGTAAATATTGGTGGCCTCCTCTACATTTGCCAGTTCCAACATTTACCCGTCCTCTTGCCTGCAAAAAAAAAAAAAAAAAGTTCTAAAAAGCACTTAGAAGCATCCAAATAATTTCGCTTTCTTCAAAAAAAAAAAACAAATGTCGTGAGAAAAAAACGGTTGCAGGCGTACTTTATACATGAGATCCTTCAAGACGTAATTTACTACAGGGTCGCTTAATTGTTCCTGGTAGCGTATCAGTGATGGAATTGCACTCCAAGATTGCACTACCCGCAGGAATGAACCTGTCCGGCACCATCAAGCCACCGAACTGGCAGATGCCAGTCAACGTGATGCCGGGGGGCATCCAGAACGAGGCGTTCATCGTCTGGATGCGCACCGCGACGCTGCCGTCGCTACGCAAGTTGTACGCCCGAGTGGACCACCACGGACCCTTCGCAAAGGTCATGCCCAAGGGACGCTACCTGCTCGAAGTCAAATACCGTATCCTTGCCACGTGCTCAAAAGATTCTGTACACTCCTCACGTGGTCCAGGGAAGCGTCGATAAGACTTTCATAAGCGATACTCGAAGATGTGCACTCCTGCCTACTTACTTAACTAAGAGGGATTGGGAAATTACCCTATTCATTTTCGTCTGATCACGTGGCCTGCCAGGAGAACGGAATTGTGGAGGCTCTGCGTCTACAGCGTATTTCCTACTCGCACGCACGGCCACAAGGAGATGGCTTTCCCACTTATACAGGTTCGCAAAAACAGCATACCTTTGAAAGACTTTTTCTTGGACGTGCCTGCCCTCACGAGCGCAAATATTCGAGCAGCCCAGAATCGCCGCTACAAATTATACGCACTTTTTTTATAAAAGCGTCGCGGGACGCTTTGCTTTGTTTGTGCTTCTCGCACAATCATGTTTCTGCTTGCTGCAGTTGCCAGCGCACGCTGGCTGGGTGCGATCTTTCAGGATATGGTCTGGTATGTGATCTCTGTAAAGGGTAGAGTCGTTTATATAATCAGCTAGTCTAACTTCTATACGGCGAACCGACTTGAAGATGTGCCGACCGAGTTCTTAGTAAGCTCCCCACCCGCATCGGAAAACCTCTTTAACATCGTCGACACCAGGCTACCCCGTGACGCAGTTCAAGGGCACCAAGCGGCTGATCCTGTCCAATGCCTCCTGGATGGGGTCCCGGAATCCGTTCTTCGGCATCGCCTTTATCTCGGTGGGATGCCTCTGCGTTGTCCTAGGCCTGGTCTTTATCGCCATCCACAGGAAGTTTGGGTCCAAGTGCGTCACTTATGAATTGATGTTTCATCTATTAATAAAGACGTCCACGTCGAAAATCGCACGTAGTACTGAGAAAGGCTCCAAAGACGTAATTGCCATTAGAGATGGTGCCACAATAACAACTACGCGTGTTGAGAAAAAAAAAAGTGTTTTTTCCCCGCAAACATGAACTACAAATCGCAGAACACTCATTCTCTGCCGCAATCTTTGGCTCTAGCTGTTTGAACCAGACTCGTAAGTTTCAGAACTATCTTATTTGAAAGTCACGTGATTTTTCTCAATTTTAATAAAAAAAGTGGCAGCCGACGGAGCTCTCAAATGCATCGAGCCGAGTGTCGCAAGCAACCAAAAACGGCGAAAACGTGCCCCATTTTTTCATTGAATTTTTTTGAAATTTACTTAAAGCTTTGGAATGCGATAACGTTTGGTTATGATCATAACCAAACGTTATCGCATTCCAAAGCTTTAAGTAAATTTCAGAAAAATTCAAAACGAATGCCAAATTTCGAAAAATTCGAAACTTTGGCATTCGGTTCGGAACACTAGCGCGCATTGGGGAGGACAATGAGCGTTTGGCAACGCGTAGTTTAGTTTAGTCGCGAAAAAAAAAAAAAAGAACTACATTTTCTTGTATTTCTTTACGCCTCTAAAACGTTCGCCAATTCAATTTCTTTTTCGTTCTAATTAGCATTACTAATTTGCTTGTCTGTGCAGAGAATTCAGATATGCTATAGGAGCTTTTGGGGTTAGGTATATTTATTTTATCTTATATCAAAACGTACATGTTACAAACGCCAAAAATCATTGCTTCTCCCTCTTACAAGCAAATATCTTAAGAACTTCTTCGCACGGCTATGAACACTAAGCACAACTCCTTTTTTTTTTTTTTTTCTTTTTGTTTCTTGTGATGAAAACGAATCTTGAGACGTTATAGGTTTTTGAGAGATGTCATTTTGTCAGCTCGAGCTAGAGATCTTGTGGTAATAACAGCCCAACTGGACAAGAACGAATAAGAAGAACAGACGGGACTCAACTGTGTTGCCCAGTTGCGCTGTTTTCTTCTTTTTTTTCTTTTTTTTTACTTCACGATGTCAAGTAACCAACTAGCCCAAGAAAACCTTTTAGCGAACTTCGTTTATCGAACCAGAGCGGGGGTCGGCAACCTTTTTCAGCGGTGGGCAAAGTCGTCACGAAACCGATACGGAGGGGGCGGACAAGACGCGAAAGGAGGAAGGGGGCGAGGGGGGGGGGGGGGTGGAATTTCAGGCGAAGAACCGGCAAAAAGGAAGGGAAGACATTCTCTGCCTAAGTATAGTGTGCCAGATAATCCCCGTTTGAGGTAGGTCGTGTGCTGTGTGGCGTAGGGAGAGGGGAAGGGGGGAGCTTTTCTGGTGTCGTGCCGGGGCCCGCATGAAGCATGAAACTGCCTCGTGGGCGGTGGGTTGCCGGCCCCTCAACTAAAAAATTGAACCCATGAAGGTTTCTAATAGGTGACCGGCGTTTGAGCCGGAAGTTTCGTCATCCGGAGCGAGGCACCACGTGACTTCACGCTTCCGGTTCGTCCGGTGCCGGTCGCGGTTCGTCCAGCTGCATCAAGAGCCCTTCTAGGCGTGGTGGCCGTGCTGTATACGCGGTGAAAATGGCTTACAGCTCCGCGGTACGTTGTTCAAACGCAAGCCATAGAGGGTATAAGATGTTCCAGTTCCCGTGTAACAAAGCATGGAAGCAACGATGGGCCGTCGCTGTTAAGCGAGTGAAAGAGCGAGATGACCTGCGACAGGCAAACGTCGGTGACCGTTTATGCGCGGCCAATATTGTTACAGGCCAGTACAACGTGTTCTCTCTTTCTTCGGGTAGGGCCAGCGGGAAATAACGATCTCTAACAGTCTTTTGGCACCCACCAAAAGCGTCGAGCAGTGCTTGTCGTACAAGGCATCTGCGAGAACGCGGGATGCGATCTCGCGGGCAATCAGTTCATGGCACGACGTTTCGTCAACATACAGTGCCATTGCCAGGCGGATTAATCGTTACATCGACAGCTCGGATTAAGATTTTCTGTGATGAGCCGCCGCAGACTGTTCCCGGGAAGTGGCGTGGATGGGTGGCTTGCTATAATATAAATAAACAAAAGGAAAGGTCAGCTTTTTGTAATATAAAGAAACAATAGCAAACGGGCAGCACCTTCATATTGACGGATAATAAAGCAGTAGCACGACCCTGCGTGGCTCATATAAAAATCGGTGCTCGTTTGTGTATGCTTTCTTACTCGACATCATTAAAAAAAAAACGTCCGGGAAGGGGGAAGGGGGGGGGGGGGGGGGGGGCGGAGGATTATTGCAGTTCACGGGGGACAACTTAGTTGAAGTTCCAAAAACGCGTGAGTGTTCAAAAACAAGGATTGTCACGTAGTCAGATGTCGACGAAACTAACTTTCGCACGGAAGTGGCGTTTTAATCGCGCGAGAAAACATACTAGCTGAGTTTGAAACGCCGTCTGACCGACTTTTTTCCCCGTCTTAAACTTTTGATTTCCTAAAGATTTTCTTACCCAGGCTTAGGTGTTCTCACAAAGTGAGAAAAGTATGCCAGACCTCCGACCGGGCATTTCAGCTGGCCGTGTCTTACGGCTAACATTCGCGCCTATTTCAGTCGGTGATGTGATCTAACGTAACCATCAAAAATAAACAGAACCCGAATGAAAAACGCTGGCTCAAAAGGAAAACGAAACAACCAACCTGAGTTTTCATGCGAAGATCCGGAAAGCGCGGTGCGAGTGCAGCTTGCCGCCGGCCGCACTGGCTCTGCGCTTTCGTGGCCGTTCTCGATGCCTCTGCGTACCGATTAGTACTTAACATATCCGTAGAAGTAACTTCAGACGTTCAGAAGTGTGTAAGTCACCCAGCAGCAGAGGAAGGTGGCCCGGATTGATCGGGTTTCAACACCCGCACACGCTTCCGTAGCCGTCATGGGGCTGCGTCGGCTGCTAGCTACGAACCGGAAGTGAAGATTACCCAGAGTGCTTTGAGGCTGCTGCCAAACGCCGGTCACCTATTGACTGATGTCATCCATCTTGAAGCTGGCAGAAGCAGACTTGCACGACACTCATTGCAAGCAATCCTATCACTTAATCGATTGCTTTTGGTGTACATTTGTATTCTTTTGATTAGCTTTATCAGGGAGTAATCACACGAATTATCTGATTGCTTTTGAAAGTTATGAAAGGACTTGTAAGACTTACTATTTTCTCCTCCCTTTTTTAATAAGCCCTTTGTTTCTACAACCTTCCCAACCAGGGATCCTCGAACCAAATCTTCGATAGGGGGACGGTCTGCCAAAAGTGTTGGATTTAGAAGGTCGTTAATTTGTTATCCGATAATCTTAATTCAATAATGAACAGTACGAAAAAGCCCTTTTCAAAACCGGCGAAAAGGTTTGCCATTTCAAAAACCTCAAGTAATGGGAGAGGTGGCGGTCGCTTTTTCGAGTAACGGTCAGTTACTTTTTATCTCAAGTAATCAAGTAATGCGGTTGAATACGCTTAATCAAAAGGAACTGTAATTGTAATCGATTGCTTTGTCGAAGTAATGTGTACCAGGATGGGCATAAGAGACAAAAATAAACGCGTGCCAAAAAACGTTTAGGCGGGAGCTCCGAATGCCGCTGAATGGGATTACAAAGGCGAGAGACGTGTAAATTCGTTGAATTTTTTTTTTTTTTTTTTTTTTTTTTGCAATTAAAAAACGGAAAAATAAAAATTAGGGTACATTTAGCCGCACTAGCGTGCTAGTTCTACCCAAGCTCCAAGTCCCGAATTGATTGAATCGAAAAGAGCTGCCATTTTGAACAATTGATTTATAGCACAGCGACGCTCTCCCGAAACGAGACATGAAAGTTTCGGTGCTCTGGGAATTACAATTTAGTGACTCACTTATTATTTCACACTTGAAATTTGCCTCTCCCATCCTCTTTGGCAATTGAAAAGGAACAAGAACATTCGAGGCTTCTAAGTTCTGCAGTAGACGTGTTAATCTTAGCCTTCCCCATGCAGCTGCTAACTTGGGGAGCTCGCTGCGTCACCATGAGCCACTACAAATGTATGTCGGCAAGACAGCCAGCCCTTTATAAACCAGGCAGAGGGAGAAATCGAACACGTGATGTCTAAGTCTGCACGGATTCGACGCGTTACCGCACTTAGCAACCAAACGCATTAGAAAACAAAACCGGAGAGTTATTAAAATGGCTTATTTAAACACACACACACACACACACACACACACACACACGCACACGCACACGCACACGCACACGCACACGCACACGCACACGCACACACACACACACACACACACACACACACACAAAGAAATGTAAAAAAGATAAAAAAGAAAGTATATTTTTGAGTTAAATTTATTTTTTACAGTTTATAGTATTTGATCTCGTTTTTACGAGCCTGGTGTTAGTTCTGATATAGCTTTCTTTTTAATTTATGTTTTGGGTGAAACACACATGGGGAGAAAAAAAGATGTTGCGCACGCGTGGGAGAGGGCCACACACTTAAAAGAGCGTAATAAAATGTGCTAATTTGCTTCCCATAAACCGCTGGGTGCAGGGAGAAAGGAAAATAATTTGCACAAAGCACGTTTTATTTCAAAAGTTAAAATTAAAATTACAAAAAAAAAACGGTTATCTTAACGAGCTAAAGAAAGGCGAATTGTTTTCAAATAAAAAACTATACATTCAAAATAAACTTTGGTAATTGCGTTCTACATATTCTAACACATATTCACGCCAAATTTGGTTGTGATAGAACAATATACAAAAAAAAAAAACTTATTGTGCGCAAACTGTGAAGATTACTCAAAGTTGGAGAGAAAAACTAGTTCAAATATAACCGTAGAAATAAAAAAATAAAAAAAAATAAAAAAAACGTTGGCCGCGGAAAAAAAAAATTTTTCTAATAATGTTTAGTAAAAAATTTAAGCTAAAAAAAAAAAAAAAAAGAAAGTGATGAAGAGGAGCCGGCTAGCTAGTCCTCCTTCTTAAAATAAATATGATGGTGGGCGATCTCGCAATTTGAGAAACAGCGCACACAAAAACGGCTCAAGTGAACGCCTTAATTCTACGTCGCCGGGAGTT